AAACACTTTTCCACCACACATACCAAACTGCATACCAGAGATCAATTTCCATGATATTTACTCTATTCTACTCCCTCAAAGTTCATCAGTGGAAGTATTATTAGTTTTTGATAATTCACATTCTTCTTTGAAGTTGCAGTTTTGAAGGATGTCCTTATAATGGTTCTTCAGATCTGTGTACAGAGAGACAGTTTCCTCTGAGTGAAGAAATGGCAGCAACTTTTCATTCAACATTATCTGTACTTGGTATTCCTCCTCAGGGGTCTTAGCTTGGTCACAATGATAAAGCACAAATAGCAGGTTGGAGGCATAAGGTACAATGTGGCCGCTACGAAACTTCCGATGCATTTGTTTTTTGTAATTGTCAGCAGTCAGAGGCTCCTCATCCTTGAAGAAACCCATTAGAGCAAGCAGTGGCTGAAGGGTCTCTGCATGTCCAAACTGCAGGATTACAGGTGAAGAAATGGGCATGGAACTAGAAAACAAGCATAAAGAATAAACAATATAGTAATTGTGTTTAAAAGCAAACACTAGTACACTGTACAGTTGTTAGCAAAGGATAGATCACTTTAAATAATGTTTTACTTTGATGTTTGCTAACTTGTTTTGAAATGGATGAAACTCAATCAAGAATATAATTGTACTTTATACAAAGTATTGGCTCTATTTTACCTACTAACATTATTATTACTATCAATGAACTGCTAAGTAGTAACCCAAAGTCTTAGTGCAAAACCAAATCATGACAGATTCATCATTTTTTAAATATTCACATAACTGAAATATAGTTTAGATGGATACAGTGTTCAGAAAAGACAGATCTGGAAAACAGGGATAAAGGTTGCATTACATACTAAGAAAGAAAACACTTGCTCTGATGTCTGGTGAAAAGTAAACCTGCTGAAAGTCTTTGTGAAAATAAAAGGGGGAAAAAAAGGCACAATGTCATGGTCAGATCTACTATTAAATCAGGAGGAAGAAACGGATGATGCATTTTTAGAACAAACAATAGAAGTATCCAAAGCACGGGATCTACAGATAACAAAGGACGCTAGCTGCCCGAATATTTCTTGGAAAAAATATGGCAGGCAGGACACAGATTATTCAAGTTTTTAGAATGCACTGCAGACAATATTTTTGTTTCATAAGATAGAGGAAGCAAATAATTTATTTAAAATTTTGTTCTGGAAAATAGGCAGAACTGGTTGAGACTGGGAAGGAGGATAGTTATGACTCTGCATGTTACCAACTAATTTGGCGCCTGAGGCAAGATCATCCTCGTTGTGGGCGGGGGTGCTGATGTGGCGCGAGGCATGAGTGAAGCGAGCGTAGTAGCTGTCTTTTCCGCACCCCCTCAGCTATGCGCCCAAGGCAAGTGCCTCACTCTCCTCGCCCTTGTTACAGCCCTGGCAACATGGGTGAAAGTGACCCACAAAAGAAAGAGTTTATGATCAACATGGGTAAAAGTGACCCACAAAAGAAAGAGTTTATGATTCTGAAGAAAGAATGAGGGCAGCCGAGTAAAGGTAACTGACTGGAAGCAACAAGGGGAAATGGTAGGAATGGTCACATGGGACAGAAATTCTCCATAGCTTTTACACAGTGTTTCTCAAAGTGATCCACAGACCCACTCTGAATAAGGTGCTACCAGGCTGTACTGGTTTGTTTACTTACTGTCTCTGCAGTCACAAAGCCTTGTGGCTCCCATTGGCTGCAGTTTGCCATTTGCAATTAAAAGGAGCCATGGGAAGCAGTGGCCCAGGCCACGCTACTGCCTGTAGCTCCCCTTGGCTGCCAACAACGAAAGACCACCTCGAGAAACACTGCTTTAGCAAAATATAAACATCAGAACTGCTCTCCATGATACCACCTGTGTTGAAAAATGAAGTTAGAGTTTTGCCAAGAACGTAACACATTATTATGACCCATATACAATTGAAAACATGATGCACACAAGAAATAAGGATGCAATATTTTTGGATTGCCAATATTTCTTCACCGTATTTTGTTATAATAAATGTGGACTATTAGAATGATAAAGCTTGGTTCATCAGTACACCTTGTGACTAAGATAATTCAGGGGAATGTGACCAGCATCTCTTGTTTTTGGCCATTTTCTTATTTTACAGAAAAAAGCAAAGATTATTTAGAAAGATACTACAACATGTGTTTAATCTAACTGTTCTTGAAATGCTCCAGGTGTATACTTGAAACAGATCAGTATTTTACATGACAGTGCCATTTTATACTATCTTTTGTGTTAAAGAGAATCCAAAGAATAGCACCTACGATAATTTAATAAAGCCCACAAAATTGCAATCATCTTGAAGCCAGCAAGCTTGAAGGTTTGAGAATAGCCATTCTGCAACTATAAAGCCATGCAGAACCTCTCACTGCTATGATAAATATAGAAGAGATAAAAGGTGAGTGCTAACATATAAATTGTTAAAACTAAACAAATTTATTAGTACCGCTAGTTAATAACCAACATCAAACTGCAATAAAATTCAAGTGTATGTTTGACATGTGAACTTAAAAATCACACAGCAGCAAACAAATGAATTTAAAAGAGAAATGCGTCTCGTTTGGTGAAGTATAACCCATGATACAATTGCCTATTTTGCACAATGGAAAAAAAATACATACCCATATTATCAAATTCTGTAGTTATGTGATGTTAAAGAAGGGGAATTATGTTTCGCTCACTGCAGCCATTCATTATTAAGGAAACATTATGTTTTCTTGCAGATGCCACTGCCTTATTCTTTCTCTACCTTCACTATGCAGACACATCATGCACATTTTCAAACTGAAAGCTGGATTGTGATTAGGGGGTGTAAAGAAAGGATGCATAGAACTTTTCCATTTTAGCACATCTGTAACAGGGCCACACAAAATAATACCAAGGAACATAGGTATGTTCTCTGAAAATACCCCTCAGCGTACTTGCTAGCCAAAAAGAACGCACCCCGTCAGGAACAGGAAAATAAGAATGAATCATAAAAAACAGATGAAAGGAAGATTAACAATGACAATTTACAATTGCATCTGCCAGTCTCTCTCAGACTTGCAGGACCACCAGCTAGAGGATGTTGTTAGGAAAAAAAAAAAAAAAAAAAAAAAACCCTGTAAATGTCAAAAACAAAAAACTGAACTCAAATGAAAGGAAGTAGTACAGCTCCTTCCTAGGCCCTGGACATATGTGGCAGATGTTCATGCTCATATGAAATTTGAGAATGTCCCTCACCAGTGAGTTAGTTCAGGTTCTCCCAAAGAAACAAAGAATTCATAGTCAATGCCAAAATTCGCTACTTATTTTGTTTTGTTACTTAAAAATAAAGATACTTCCTCAATTAGTTCTCTTTTGAGATGTTAGAATCGTCTTATTTTCAAGTGCAAAGGCAGGTCCTTAATTACAATCCCAAGTGCTGTATAGAGCCAATTTACATAACTGTTCTATCTTGGTGTACATCTATACACATACTACATTTGAAAATAGAACATCAGAGTGTCAATTTCACCACTATGAAGATTTTCACTATAGCAAAAAGACCCTATTAATTTCCTTACAGGAGTTCTGTATACTAGGCTGTATAAATATATGTACTATAAATGTAAATTAACCTTGTTCAAGCAAATCTAACCATGGTTCAGAACTATACAAAACTATATCGGTATACCTTATGATCCAGTATTTATTAAAGTTAGAACCAAAACGTCATTAGCAATTTCCTCTATGCACTGCAGCCCTGGCTCCAGTCCCAGCGCATGGGGCTGTTACCTGCCACATGGCCCAGCCCCCCCCGCCCAGGAGCAGCTAGGGCCGGGACTTCATGGTGGCTGGGGCCAGGACTGCGGTACTAAAAATAGCACCACGGCCCAAGCTCGAGTCCCAGCACATAGCCAATTTTTAGTATCACAGTCCTGGCCCCAGCTACTCCCGGGGCTAGGCTGCATGGCGGGTGGCTACCCCATGTGCTGGGACTTGAGGCGGAGCCACTGTACTATTTTTAGACCCCAGCAACCACAGCCCCAGCTGTTCCCAGGGGGAGGGAGAGCGGGAAGGAAAGAAGCTGGGAAGTTCTGACTGAGCCAGCTGCCTTCCAGGACCAAACCCCAACTGCGCCAGGTCCAAACCCTGCTGTGGCTCTGCAATTTAAAAGGTGGTAAGAGTTGGGCAGCCTCTCCCCCAGCCCCAGCTCCTACAGCTTTTTAAATTGCAGAGCGCAGTGGGATTTGGTCCTGGACCTGGCACGAGCAGTAACTGAGCTGGGCTGCCTGCTCAGGTGGCAGCATCCCCTGTCCATGAGGTCCCGGCTCCCTGCCAGGACACAATCCTGCAGCCCCTGTCCACTGGCACCCCTGGAGGGGAATTGGGACCCCCTACGGACAGGGGCTGCTGCCGGAACAGCCTCCCTTGCCCCCCCACATGCTGCTGCCT